GCCAGGGCCTAGGGGTCCACTGGGAAGCCAGGGCCTAGGGGTCCACTGGGAAGCCAGGACCTAGGGGTCCACTGGGAGGCCAGGGCCTAGGGGTTCACTGGGAGGCCAGGGCCTAGGGGTTCACTGGGAAGCCAGGACCTAGGGGTCCACTGGGAGGCCAGGGCCTAGGGGTTCACTGGGAGGCCAGGGCCTAGGGGTTCACTGGGAGGCCCTTATACATGGCACGCCTTGCTACTAGTACTCACTTGTTTACTGGCTGACAGAAATGCACGCTTCAGGCAAGGTACACAAACGTGCTGGTTGCCATAAACTATGCTTTTTTGAAGAAAAAAGAAAAAGCACTCCAAATATATAACTTGCTTTTATTAAGCAGGAGGGGGAAATCACATTTTTTAAAGCAGCAGATATTCCAACAGCTTCAGGGAAAAACAACTTCATATCAGCTTGTTTGAAAGTATCTTTTAAAATAAATGAGAAATTAAATTCTTGAAGCAGAGAGAAGATACCGAAAAGCTCTAGGCCTTGCCAAATTAGGTGCTGTGTAGCTTCACCATTTGAGTGTTCATGTAAATGTGTAGTAAATTAGAATAATAGCATCTGAACAACATCAGGACTATCTTCTCATTTCACTTGAATTAAACCAGAATTTCTGGAACTTCCAAATAATAAAGTTTTCCAATATGAATATACGCCTACTATTCCTTTCTACATATCAAATGTGCAATAATTGTACAATATTATCAATATTCTCACAGAAAGATTTTTAAGGCTTCTGGCACATAAAGTAAGTAATATTTGTGTGTCAGTGTCATAATTATGTACAGAAAATACTTAAAATTTTCCTGTGCAACTTATACTCTAAAGATTAAAACACCAAGTGTTCATGTTAATACAGTATTAAAATATGCCTCCTCTAAATTTGACACTGATCTGTAATTATAAAAAGAATGAACTAATCTTGTATGCTAAATGATTCATCGATGAAAATAATTGAAATTTATATACTTAATCGATATCGCTGATTTCTAGATCATTCTTTCAGCACAAAACAGCCTGAAATGTAACATAAACATTTCCAATTAAACTAACACTGAGGCAGTAAGTGTCAGGTCTGTTTGCTGGTGTGTCTCATAAGAAAAGTCTATAAATCTTCATTTATACTTTAAGTCACCACTGGAGAGAGTGTGTCTTCAATAAAGGGTAATTATTTCTCATTTGAAAAACAATGAAAGTCATTTATAGCTTGTGTTAAAGTTCTACAGCAGCATATTTAATTTTTACGATGAAAAACCCCCCAAATTATAAATTATAAATTCTAATAATTCTTCTTTTGGCATAATAGCCATAGCATAAAATCTCAAACTTTAACAGATAATATATTAGTGTACATCTGAATATACATTTGCCCACATTCTCCATTGGCGTGAAGCAAGTACGGGAGGCAGAAGCAGGAGATGGCGTACGTGGGGCCACACTTAACAGCCCTCCTGGGCATTGGAGGACAGGGCGTGGCCGAGTCTTGACCTTCCATTCACAGATATTGTATTTGATGGAACGGTAACCTAAGTGGAACAAACACACCTTGCATCCGTCAATTTCAATTCGGACAGCTGCGTACGTTTCCACAATTATCACATTAACTTCTGCTTCATTATAAATGCTAACATTTCATATTTCTCATTCAATAAATCACAGAAAATTGCGAGTTAATGTTCACCCTTCCATGAAACAAAAAAATGAGAGTTGTTATTTCCACAACAAACAAGTTAAATAATCCATTAACACATCTTTGTCGTCATAAAATTACTAAATCAACATAAAGGACAAGAGCACAAACAGACTGCAGGGCAAGCTGTTAGAGAGCATTTTTAGCTAGATTCATTCTGGCTCTTCAGAACTACTTTGGAAAATGTAAAAAATTCAAGTGAATTTCATAACACAATGATTTTTATCATTTTTATAAATATAGATTAATCTGAACTTCTCTTAAAAATTCCTTATTTACTAAAAACAGTAACAACAATAAATGACTTTTATAAATGCTTTCATATGAAAGGACAAAAAAGTCCAATTTATGACTATTATGTCAAAAACAATTGTGGAATGAAAAGGAGCTTTTGTGATTTTAATTAGTGCCCCAATTTCAGTTCTTGCAATTCTTTGTAAAGTAAAAAAGAAAATTTATTTTATGCATTTAAAAAAACCCTAATGGCTCTAAATGATTAGAGATGTTTGTTGTGGTAACATAGGTGGGATCCAGTTAAATGTTGATCAATATTTAGCAAACAAATTATGTCACATTCACACAGTCAAATACTATGTAGTCGTGAAAAAGACAGTATAGAGGTACATGCAATAAGATGGGATGCTCCAAAGAGAAACATGTTTATGAATGATTTCCTCGGGATGCCATTTTTATAGGCAAAATATATTTACATATTTTAAAAGTGGTCTGGAAGTTGATATAGCAGTCTAGCATGAGCAGTTACTTCGGGAGGACAATGGCATTTCCTTTGATATTTAAAAATTTGTTGATTAAACTTCTAAACACAAGACGGCATTATCAGAATGTCCTATAAATTCTGGGGACAGAGATCATGCTCATTTTGGTGCCTCTCTATCTTCACATTTCTATCAGTGCTGAGCACAGTAACGCTATTAAGGTGTATTTCCTGAATGAGATATGGTAACTTTTTGCAAAATATTTCCAAAATATGAGCATGTTGCTTGGATTCTTAGTTCAAGGCACACATTGCACTTACAACAAAGATATTTTTTAAAAATGTCTGAGAATTTAACAATGTGAATATTGGACATCTGTCTTTAAACTTGTAAGAGTTCTCAGTAATATTCATAAACTTGTCTTAATTATATAACATAACTATTAAAACTTTCATCACCTATTTCTATTTTAAAACCATATACACAATCATCAACCGGAAACCTTTTGCTCAAATTCAAATGAAGAAAGTACAAGAGCAGGACACATGAGCAAACAGAAGAAGCCAGTAAGATTCTGGGGGACTCGGCAGCTTCTGATTTTCCTCCAGGCTTCTATCTAACCAGATAAATTCTGCATTCAAAGAATATACTTACTATCAAGGGAAAAATCTCACTCATCAGTTTGGTTTCAGACTTCACCTTTACAAACTATTTGTAATAGTCTAATAAGTCAGATTTGACTAATGTAGGCGTAGTACGTTCTGAAAGCAGCTGAAGAATTTCTTGGCCCCAGAAAGGCCAATTATAATAGATTAATCTTATTCTCTGTAAATATTTGGTGGATTCAGACATAAATTTTAATACGATAGATGATTTATGAACTTTTTTTTTTTTTTAGGGAAGGGTCTACAGGGTGTTCAGGGTCTCGCTACTAGATCGGACTCATAGTGATTCACCTGTTTACAGCCTCCCAAGAGCTGGGATTACAGCCATGCGCCACTATGCCCAGTCTCAATTGGCATCTCAGCGTGCCCCGGGGGCGGGGCCAGCATGGCAGGCCAGGGATTGAACCCTTGACCCTGTGCCTGCTTGCAGGCGCTTTAATCCGCTGAGCTATTTGGCTGGTCCTCTGATTTATGAACTATCAAGAGTTAAGATTTATTAGTGCTTCACATGAAGACAAGACAAATGTCTATGACTGTATGGGAGTAGAGTGAGGCAAAAATTTGGAGACATTTTTCAGAAATATAAAAAAGGTAGCAACAGCACGTCCATGACTGCACTTATATTACATGATCAACTAAATACCTGTTCTAAAGTGAGCCAACCATTATAGTGAAGGTGGCTGCCCCGGTATGAACCAGAGCCTTAAGGTAGGTTAGTACCTGAGGTTAAACTGAACATTCAGATGCCGAGATGTAGACAAAACACAAAGCCAACTTTCTGACAAACAATCTAAACCTGTCAAAATTGCTGGAGAATTTATTTGGCAATATAATTATTATTCGACAAAAGAAATGTCAGGATTTAAAAGAAAGTAGGAAAAACCTTCAGTACAGGACAAAAATGTGGGACTAAAACAAGATCAAAAGAAGGTAAGAACCTACCTCTGTCCATTTCACAAGCTTTTGCAATTTTGGGAAAAGAATACATGGACAGAAAATTTCACTGAACATCATATACAGCCCGGTGGTGGCAAACAAAGATAATAGCCAATCAATTGGGTCAAGCCCCCTACTAAAGTTTTCTTTCTTCAAATTTTGATTTTTTATCTAGAATTTTATACCAATTTATACTAATCTTTGTATAAATTTGTGTAAGTTTCTCTCTCTTGAGGAACCTACAATCATAATTTTTACAATTACTTTCCTGTTTGAATTTTTTAATGGCTATGCACGTATTGGGGCTGGATGGAGCAGGGGGCCTCCCTCGGGCTCTGTACGCACCACCACCGAGCCACACCCCCAGCCCACATCCACTTCTAAACATGACCGGCAACCATGCCACCATCACTACCAAGAATGAGTTTTGCATGCTGTTGCACTTTCTCACCCGTTATTTTTATGGTTTTATTTACACTGTCACGTCAGTTGTATTCTGTTCATTTTACTGTTGAGCAGTGGGAGTCTGTTATTTGAATACAATATTGCACATTCTATTATGTATTTGGGCTATATATATATATATATATATATATATCTGGAGCTATTATGAATAATATTCCATGAATACTTATCTCTAACTCATGGAAAATGAAATCACAATTTTTAGGGTATATAACTAGAAGTGAAAATGCTAGTCATGGAGTGTGGATATTTTGAACATTACTAGATCCTCTGTTCATTTTTAATGAAATAAAATGAGTATGTATAAAATGTTCATTTAAAAGAAATTAGGAACTAACACCCTACAGACTCAGGGCTATCAATAACCTCCTACTCGGAAAGATAAAATTTTATACTCAATAGAAACCAAAGTAATGAGCTTTAAATAGGCTACAATTACAGGCTCATCACTTAGGGTTCCTTTCCTGATAATTCACATCCTGCTCAATTGGAAAGCAATGAGTTTTCCATGGGAAAGGCCTGCTGGACCCGAGCCAGCCGAGACACCACGGGCACCACTGCTGGCTCATACAACACCACTGGCCTCAAAGGTATTTCCAATTTAATACGCAGTCCTCTGCAATTAGTTCATCACAACCCAGGAAAAGCACGGACTTAAGAGTCAGGCAGCTTCTGCGTAGTTCCTTGGCTCCTCCATGGGTCTGATGTGCCACTATTTTTCAGGGCTGGCCCATGAGTGCACAGCAAGCAGAGGCTTCACGTGAATCCTTCTCACACCCACAACAGCAAGTGAAATATTTGGGACTCATGTGCTTAAGATTACAAAGCATTGAGTTGCTAAAGCTTTCTATTGGTAGCGCCTGGTTTGAAATTCACCTTTAACCTACAAGACTAGAAGTAGAAACATTTTCATAAATGAGAATGTGCAAATTATTAACAAGGGTATGTTTTACCCTCAAAAATGTAAACTTGCCACAATCTATGCTATAAACCAATTTCAGGACATATTTAAAGCTACACCAAATTTTTAAGCTATCTGGCACTTCAACATAAGCTCTAAAAATAACCGAAAACAATTCAAGCCAGAGCCTTTCAGTTACGCGAGTACTGCTGAGAGCACTCACTATTTTGCCTTGTGTCCATCTGCCCAGACAGGAGCACCCCATCCTCAAGAGAAGGCGCACGTCACTCACTGCTCTACGCAAGCAAAAAGAGGAAACGGAACTTAGCCAGAAGAGCATGGCAAATGCTGATGGGGCTGGGAGGATGCTTTGCTTTTGTTTTTTTCCATCTTTGCAAAATTTCTATTCCAGTGTAGATTTAATTTCTGTTGAGCTCAATGTTTTGTTCAACACATTTCTTAACTCTTCTTTAAATAGCTTCTAAGATGACTGAAGAAGGAATTCACAAAATGAAATGCCTGGGGAGTCAGTAGAATAATGAGTGACTATTTTGTCTTCAGTACTGCAGTGCTTCTAATGGATGTGTAGAGGGAACGAGAGAAAGGTTTGGGGAGACAGCTGCCTCTGGAAGCATGACGCTGTGGTGCAAAGCTTTGCCCTGTCCACTTCCAGGCCATGAAGGGGACAGAGAGGGGAATTTCCCATGACCTTCCTTTAGTGTCGGCCCTGAGAAAAGCAAACTCTGCTTTCCTCTGTGAAGCTCTTCCATGCCACGGTCAGCAGGAGCTGGGCCACTGTGGCCAGACATGAGGAAGTCTTGCTTTGGTATTAGGTCTCATCTACATTCTCCAGATTTTTCTCTACTGTTTTATTAAAGCTATAAAATGGTCCTTAAAGCCTAACATTTACTTTGGTCCCTGGAGGAGCTATAACTGACAACACTCACAGGCTGCCATCACTGAAAATCCTCTTTTTCTGGAATAGGGATGAGTTTCCAAAAGAATCTTCTTTGTTGTGCTATCAGAATTTCTTAAAATCAGAGTCCAGGGCACTTTCTAAATATAGTTACACAGTGATGAACCAAAGTCATGTTCTGCACCTGGCCTATGCTGGAGAAAAGACCTGATATAATTTTAAGTATGTGAAAGACTCTGGACTCTCTCAGTTTAAACTTTAAAAATGACCCCTGACATAAAAAAGTAACTTCTGGCATCTTTGCTATGTAGATTTAAATGGTAGGAAAAAAATTTCCCTTAAGTATTAGCTGAATGTTGAAAATAAACCCACTGTCACCCCTCTGAGAAAGAAACTTACTCTTTTCAGTTTGGCAGCAGCATCTCCAGAGCGGATTGCAGTCAGCAAACTCTGTCGGATCTGCTCTGGGTCAGAGCTTTGCAATGTTAAGGAACTTTGTCTCTTAAGGGTGAATGATGGGCAGTCAGTTGGAGTTGACATTTGAGAGTTCTGTTCATTATGTGCAGAGTTATTTTGCTACAAAAATAAATGCAAAATATTTATATGAATTCCATGGGAAGAATGGGCCTTTTTTTGCACAACAGTTTCATCACCAACAGTTCTGTAAGCCATCAGCATTTGCCACACTGGGGATTTAGACACAACTCTATTTCCCTGCTTACTGAATCATTCCTGCCGCCACGGTTGAGCCAGAAGATGAAGGTGCCACCTTTCTCTTTTTGAATGTAAGAGGCTAACAAGAAAAGGAAGGACCTCACTGTTTCAAGAATACAGTGGTAATTTTACTGTGTGTGGGTGAAATAATGTTGACTCTGCTGATACATGGAGTTGGCTAGAAAAGCTAAACTAATAATCAAAAAATTCCACAAACTGAAAGGTCACCCATTTTCCCCACGAGGCTAAATTAAATATTAGGAACTTCCAAATTGAAGAATCAAGACCTTAAACTATATAGAGGAAGAGCTAGAAACTGATTTATCTAGCAGATGTCCCATCAAGTAGTCCAAAAAGTTTCTTTCTCAAATTGCCAAGTATACATCTCTTATTGAAAAAATGAGCCACAAAGGGCTTAGCTAGGATTCAAAACTGTATGATCGAAATCAAAGTCCCACTGCTGAGGAACCTAAGAGTTACTCTGCATCACAGGTCATTCTGATGCTACACCACAACAATAAACACAAATGTAAAATGTATGAAAAGAGCCTTCAAGATAAGTATTTCTTTAAAATTATAAAAAATATTTACTTGGCAGTATAGTGAATATTCTTTTACACAAGCAATGTTTGAAAAAGTAGTATGAAATATTTCTGGAACAGTCACCCGCTGTGAAAGTGTTCTTTAAACACTACCAGAGTAAAAGTACACCATGTATTTCTTAAAAATTGCATGATTATCGTGACTCATGCCATGAATTTCATCCTCTTCTTTGAGTATGTTATCTGAACCCCACAAAATACAATGCTGAGTTCGCATACTATGGAGGCCACAGCTCATAAATTACTACAGGTGGATAGTAGTTGATGGTCTGGTAAACATAACAATTAGAAAAGGTGATACGAAATTAACAAATAGGAAATTAAAAATGACTTTTAAAACTACTTTCCATTTAAATTAGTTACATATAACTAATGCTAAGCTGGGGTTGAACATACATGGTGGAAAATGCAGAGGTATGTTTGGAAACTTTCCTCTTTCATACTGCTTTTGTTTCATATAACTAGAACTATTTTGCTACTATGTAGTACTGTAAAATTGGAGGAGGAATTCAAAATAAACCAAAACATCCAAAAAAGTTAAAAACAAATTAGCAAACCTCAGGAAAACAGTAACAACTCTAAACTGCAAACTCTACTAATGTATGAACCAACTTTAAAACACCTGATATTTATGCAATAATATACAAATGTCTTTATAGTAATAATTAATCAAGTGATTTGAATTATAATTCTTAGAGTCTTATGTATATTGATCCCATCTCTACAGTAGCATGATATCAATGAATGTGAATTCAGAATTAACACATAAACGTATTATCATGCCTGATGTCCCTTATTTTAATGACGCTGCATATGGGGGGTCTAGGCAAATAGCTCAGTAGTCTAAGAGCTTGCCTGCCAAACACAAGGTCCTGGGTTTCATAATAATTGAGTGCTCTGGCCTGGGAGATAGCTCAGCGGACTACGCGCCTGCTTAGCCAAGCACAGGGACCGGGGTTCAACCCCCTGCACCACATGTTGCACCTGCCCTGCCCCCGGGGACACTGTGCTGGTGACCAAGTCCAGGCATGGTGGCGAACACATGTAATCCCAGTGCTGGAAAGGCTGAGACAGGAGGATCACTATGGGTCTGAGCTGCCTAGTGAGACCCTGTACCAAATACATAAATGGAAAGAAAAAAAAAAAAAAGAAAGAAAGAAAAAAAGAAAGCAAAGAAAAAGAAACGAGGAATCTGAGTGCTCTTTTTAAAAAGGTAAACTTACATTCTCTGTCACCTCAAGTTGTTGGGTGTCGGGAAACTTATTTCCCACGCAGGTCGCGCACGTCTTCCCGCCTTCTGCACTGGCTTGAGGTGGAACAGGTTCGGCCTCGCTGGAGGACTCCCTGCGCACCTTACTGAAAGACTGTGACCTTTTCACTACAGCCAGGGCAAACGGTGAAGGAGCGGAAGTGGAGAAGGGTCGGGGGGCACCGAAGGTTTTCAGAGTCTTCAGATTCACTGCCGCTGGCTGGGTGGAGGGAGGAGGCGCTGGCTTGGGAGCGATGGGGGGAGGAGCCGGCTTCGGGGTGAGGACCGCATCCTCAGCGCTTCTGACCTGAGGTGGCGGAGCAGGGTGGGTAGCTTTACCTAAGGGAGAAAGAGTCTGCGCTGGAGAAGGCAGTGTGTCCTGTTCTGCATCTTTACTTGGGAGCTCTTTGGAGGCAGTGTTAGGTCCAGTGTGTGTGCTCTTGGCAGCTGCAGATGTGACATAGTGGCCCAATGCTCTCTTCTGCATCTGCAGGAAAAAGGAATTTGGTTTGGCCTGGGGATTTGAAGCCTGAGGTTTTATTTTTGACTCCAAAATATTGTTTATGTCTTCCAAAGTTGGTGCGAAAGGAGCTGTGCTAGTGTCTCCAGCCATTCTGGGAGGTTTCGGAGGCTTGCTCACCACCCCGTCGGGAAAGCTCAAGGCCCTGTGCAACTGCTGCTCGGTTCTCGAGCTGGCTTTGGGTGTGGCGGCTAGCACACGCTCCGTGGGGCGTTCAGCGGCAGCAGCGTCCTCCGTTTGCATGCAAGTTTCTTTCACATTCTCGGAAGCGTGCTTTCGTCCTAAAGTAGGGGCCTTGTGATCATCATTAAACACTTCGGTGTCTGACTCCCAGTCTTTCGGTATTTCCAGGGATTTGACAGGCACTATTTTATAGGTCGTCATTCCAATTTTGGGTATATACTCTCTTGTAATTTCATTCGAAGGTTTTGGTTTAGCGCTGTAGTCCTGTCTGTAAAGTGGAGAATTCTGCAGGTAAGAAACAGCTGAATTTCTATCAGTTCCATCTAGAGGGGATGACCGATCACTACCATAGGCATAAACTGGGTCTTTTCTGGCAAGTCTATCCTCTGAGCATACAGCTAGGGTGCCCTGGCCTCTCCACTTGCTGGAGACAGCTGCAGACTCTTGTAAGCTTAAGGACGAGTGTTGAGTTGATTTGCTATTTGAAGTTTGTACACTTTCATCAACTTTGAAGTCAGCCAAATTATGATCTTGGTGATTCCCATCAAAGCTGCTGTGGGAAGGGGTGGTCTGAATTGCTGCATCTTGCATTTTCGACTTTTCTGCTCTGTGTTGATTCAGTTTTTGATCTGGCTCTGAGACCACTGCTCGAGGATTTTCCTTGGAACTTATGAAACTCGCAGCTTCAGGTGCCTGGCACTTGAATAGCTTGTCAACTTCCACATTTCCATTCCTACTTCTGGCTTCATCTTCTACACAGATTTCTGTTCTTCTCATGCTATTTTGCATCTTATCTTCTGTATTTGTTGCAAGGGCACTGATATCATTTTGAACTATTGAGAGAAGAAATACTTTTAGTATATTTTTAAAAGTACAAAAATTCAAGTTTTCAGTATCTATCTCACCCAACCTGTTATGAGTTTGAGTGCTACAGATCAATTTTAGCTTATTCACTATAAAAATGTAGATAGTAGCAGACAGAAAATAGTGCACACAAAAAGATTTTAGTTTGAAACCGATTTAACCAACGTGGCCACATGTTAACTAATAGCCCCTTTGAGTCTCTTTTTTGTCAGATATAAAAAGGCAAATAAATAGTTTATATTATATACACATAAATACCTTATATAGCAATCATCTTAGGATAGGGCATTACCTGGAACAAACACTCCACAGAAGTTCACAATTTTCCTCCTTTCTGAAGACACTTCCTATATCCTTCCTCTCCCCCCACCTCGCCCAACCCAGCATTTCCCTGTGTACTCTAGGCTGGCCTTGGGCCCTCTGTGTAGCCTAACCTGACCGCCAACTCACGGCAATCTGGCTTCATCCTTCCCCAGTGGAATTACAGGCATGTGCCACCACGCCTGGCAATATTTCTGCCATGTTTAAGGATGAAAACAAAGATACTGACAACTTCAGAAACTTTATTATTCCTCTTCCTTCCATTTAATCTCTCTTTTTTATACCTCCTGGAGTAGTATGTGTGTTTCAACATGAAAACAATTTCAGCTAATGTCTGCTTTAATTAAGGCCAGCATCAGAAAACATTACCTTTAGTAAAAACAATCTAAGTTCACTGTCTTAGTAACTGGCTGTTCTTGCTACTTTTAGAGAGATTTCATTTCAATTACAACCTGGCTGATTTCATAGACATAAAAACAGTTGTACTGGTTTTGTTTTTTTCTGTATGAGCAAAAGGTATTCTTATTCCAACTTCGGGGCCCGAGAGGAAAACAATCTCTTTCCCCTGCATGACTTTTCCTCCTGATTCCAGTTCAGATCTCCTGAAAATGGAAATCACTTGCCAGTGCCTTGCATCATTAGCTTCTACTCAACCAGAAGGTGGCAAAGAGCTCAAGTGGGGAACCTGGAAATAAGCACCATACACACGTGCTGCAGGCCTCGTGTCTGGTACCTAGTGCCCAAGCGATCTCCATACCACTCCCCATGACAAGCCACTTCTCCTGTGTGACCAGTTCTCACCTTCCATATTCTAGTGGCCTCCTTTTTTGCATATGGTAGTAGCGGGCAGAGTATGAGTAAAGAGTCTAACATAAGCATTTGGTAATGAAGGTAATATGCTTTGTTTTCAAAATTCCTATATTAAGTATATAATTTGAAATGCTATTTGTTTTTAGTTTTTCCAACTGAAATGTACCTATTACCAGATCAAGTGTCATCTATTTGAATGACTTCTCCCTGCGATGAAGAGTAACTATGAACTTATGTGATTTAAAAATTAAGAACACATATGATTAGAGAGGAGGCAGATTTGAGCTTCTGCTCCTTACTTACTTGGTTCAGAACTATTTAATATTTATATGAAGAGCACTACTTTGAACACTATTATAAGCACAGAAGAATTTAACAAATGGTTTCTGGCAGTGGGAAATGAGCCTAAATGTATTTCTTCCTCTCATTTCTTTTTCAGTTACCACTGGATATAAGTATTTCCAAGCTCACACAATAGAAACAATTACCAAGAAAAAGTAAATCAATGTAGAAATGTATTTTAAATTAAACCCCCTGTAAGAAACACCAATAATTTGTCTGGGACTTCGGATTTCTGTTTTTCACATTTTCCCTGGGCCATACTCACTCAGTTACTATCTAACTCTGAATTTCTCAACGTTTCACAAGGATTCTCACCAATTACCAGGCCAGCAAGCCCAGAATGACTCCTGCGCGCAGCAGCGCCTCTGTCCTCAGCCGTATCTGACAGCGCTGCTCCTCCAGTTTCCTTGCACAACTGGGCTATTTTCGAAGGATAGAGAAAGCCATTTTTTTTGGACTGCCCCTGACCTTCCCCTGCTCAGAGCCAACACTGACATCCACTACCTGACAAAAGGTGGTTTAAAAACATGTACGCAGTAGGTGAAAAGGCAACACAAAATGACTTGAATAACAGAAATTATTTATTTTCAGTGTCACCGAAAAGTTGAGAAGTCATTACAATGCATTCATGCACACCAAGTATTACGCACATGTGCACGTAGCACTAACTCGCAAGGCAGCTTTCATTAAACATTATTTAATTTGACCATTATTTAAAAAAGAAAGAAGTAGCTTTTAAATGACTGCTCAAAAGGAATGCTACTGTCATTACATCTCCTCCTCAGTGCACTGCAAAGTGGTGCCAGCACAGGAAAAATAAAGGCATCCGCAGATGGCGCGCGCATGTACGACCCCTGAACTGTCCCCGTGCTATCCTCATTTCCTAGGAATTCTGACTCTACATCAACATATACTAGACTAGGACATACACGAGCCACTGCTTCCCTACTCCCTTAAAGCATATCACTATACATCCCTTGAGGCTTTTTACTGCATACTGGTATATTTTGATTCAAATTTAATCCTATGTAGATAGTTTATGTATTGTAAAGACATCTCAGTAGTCTATGAGGTCCTACTGGGATTTCATACAAAGTATCAGATGAATTTCTCTGCTCTAACACTGCTTAACTCGGGTGAAGATTCAGGAAGACAGAATTGTGGTTTCTAGTAAACAATGTAATAAGTAAAGCAGGATTTGAATGGGAGTGGCTGATACACTGTAGGTTAAGATTATTTTTATGCAAAGACAGCATGATCATAGGGCAAATGACATTAAATGAACTGTATCATGAGAAAAATAACTATCTTAATTTAGGGCTGAGAACTTGGAAACAGTGGTGAATAAGGTTACATAACTAAATTCCTTGGTACATGAATATTAAATATTGGGTAGATAAGTTTTATCTAAAGTGTAGCAACTTGACAAAGTAGAACAGGCCTGCACTAGGGAATAGGAAGAAAAAAGAAAAAGTCACAAATAGACTCATGCAGGTTATAATTTTAAGATTCCAAATTGAAGTTAGATAGCCTCTAGGATTTACCAAATCAATGTACCCATGATAATTTAGAGCACACTTTTGAATAATATTGCCTGAGTTCACATCCTAGGACCGCCATTTCCTATTCGTATGATTGATTATCTTTGTGACCAAGTACCTGTAAAGTGGTGCTAAAATACCAGTACCTATAAATGAGTCAACATATAAAACTAAAGGAGTCAATATGTTTTAAGAACAGTCTGACCCATGATAGTTCAGACAGGGCTGGCTATTAGGATTTGTATCACTCACCATTTTTTTGATTTGGGTCCAGGGAATGCAAGTTCCCGACACCATCAGCTAACGTATCTTCTTTGCTTGTATTGTAGACAACACCGTGTGACCCTCTGGAATGTTATACTGTATGTTATATACTATTCAGATACAGAAAAAAGAAAAGAAGCAATAGTCTCCAAAGACAGATGGAATGAAATAATCATCTCTATCTGCCAAATACTGGAAATGTAATAGCAAAGAAAAAAATCAACTGAGAGGAAATGCTACTATCAAACATTAGGTTTCATACAGTGGTCCTATTCCAAAAAAGAAACGAAAAAAAAAAAAAAAAGAAGTTTAGCAAAATAGCTACTTCCAAAGCAGTTTTTATTTTGTTATTATCAGTGATTTGTCTTTTAAAGAAAAAGACATGAAATGAAAGATTTCTGAGTTGTATCTGGCCAAGTCAACTATATAAATTAGGACATTGACTGACTTCACTATTATCGTTTCCCCCCCCTTTCTGGTGACACCAGAATTTAATTTGGAGATAATCCCATGCAACTTCTGCTAAACCTCTAATAGAGATTTATTTATTCTCTTGGTTTATTTCATCTTTTCTCATAACGTTGCATTTCAAACGTCATAAAAGTGGTCCAGACTACAGTTCTCAATTCTTACAGTCAAAATGCAATAAGGGAGACTATCAATAATACTAGTGATCTAGCTTTGTACTCTACTATGTGAACCTTTTCATATTTCAGTGAAAATCCTTTAGGCAAGTTTGGTAAAAACTGAAAACTATATGTTTCATTTAGATCAAATAGGCAAAACACACAGGCAAACAACTTTAAGTTTTGAGTTAGAATAGTTATGGGTAATCTGACATGGGGGTATCAGAACTGTTAAATTTTATTTTCTTTGAATACAACTGCATGCAAATAGGCATTTTATTAATGCTCACATAATATAGTGGTAGAAAGAGGGTGGAATCTAAATAAAAGGGCCAGCTACACTTGAGTTTAAACTGTCATATCTATACCTAAAACAAATGGTATTAACTAAAAAACCTGCCAACACCCCCGGCACGCAGTCTACTTACGGTCCATCTGTGGGGGCAGCCTCTTGCGTTTCCCCCGGGGAGCTTTGTGAGGCCTCTCCGATGTCAGTGCCAAGCGCCGAGTCCAGGGCTGTCCTCAGCGTGCTCATTAGGTCAGCAGATGCCAAAGAGCTGTCCGGTGACTTCAGAGAAAAGTCTTCAGACTCATCTTTTGGCACCTCGCTCAGTTCGTCCTTTTCATCTATCTCTTCAAGGCTATAATCCGAGCTTATTCCAGCTACAAAGAATTGCAGATACAGTCCTCAGGAGTAATTTATCTTATTCATCCTATACAATCCTGGCAAGGAATTATTAACTGAACTTCTTCAAAGCTGGTTTAAAAAATTGGGGAATGTTTTTCTAATGGTGAATAATCATGGAATAATATGACCAAATTATCTCAGACTCATACAACTTGAAAAACAACTTGCCATCATTCTAACGTTTACTCATGGAGGTTTAGTTAATCCCACCTACCTCATGTTAAATATTTCACTTAGGAATATATATTCAGGTACATGATTTTATACTTATACAATAACCCAGTAACACAAATTATATGTAAATTAATAATTTTTAAAATGCAAATTAGAACATATTTTCGTATTATCAACAGGTACAAGCTCCGTCTGATGTAGTTACCAGTGCTGACAATATCTGAGTACTACCTCATTCTCCTTTGAAAGCACTGAGGTTGATACCCTCCTCCAAAGCTATTAAATCAAAATCTCTAATGGGTGGGTCAAGAATTTTTAAGGCTCCATAGTTTATTCATGTGTAAAAGCAAGGTTAAGAGTCACTGATGTAAATGTTTTAAAAATCATTTTAAAACACAAAAGAACAAGTGTTAAGCAATAGGAATTAATTTTCATTCCCAGTTTGATTCTCAGAGGCAACTTCTTTTAACAATTATTTCCCGTACATTATCAGAAAACATAATAAGCATAAACAAGCAGCTATCTATACCCATGTTTCATTTATTTAATATAAACAAGAGTACAGTATATCCAATATTGTTTACCTACCTTTTTCTCCTTCACTTTGTTTTTCTTAAATATTAAGTCATAAGAATGTGTATATAATTCTTTTCAATAATTGCAACAAATATTTAATTGTACAAAATATTTTGTCATTATTTCTTAGTACTTATTGCGAAGATAATCTGTGAAATTTCAAACAAGTTTTAGATTTTTGCTCAAATAAAACTAAACATTTCTATTTACACAGCAGCATTTTATTTATTTATTTTTCTGCATTTTAGGGAAGGGCCTACAGGGTGTTTAGGGTCTCGCTACTAGATTGGACTCATAGTGAATCTCCTGTTTACAGCCTCCCAAGTAAGTACTGGGATTACAGGTGCATGCCACCATGCCCAGTCTTATTTATTTATTTTTATGTATTTGGTACAAAGTCTCACTACGCAGCTTGGACTCTCACAGTGACCCTCCCGTTTTCAGCCTCCTCAGCACTGGGATTACAGGTGCCACCATGCCAGGACTTGGTGGCTGGCTCAGTGCTATGGGGGCGGGGCGAGCATGGCATGTGGTACCAGGGATCGAACTTTGGCCCCTGTGCTTGCCTAAGCAGGTGTTCAGTCTGCTGAAGCTATCTCACCAGCCCTGCACAACAGCATTTTTTTTCAAAGTTTTATTGATAAACAGATAGCAATGAGACAGTTTCAAATCCAATCAGAAGTACAGTTTCAACAAATAATACACTAAAGATTTTTATTTATTTATTTATTTATTTGGCGGAACTGGGGATTGAACTCAGGCCCTTGTGCTTGCCAGGGAAGCGCTTATTCCACTGAGCCATCTCCCCGGCCCCCACAACAGCATTTTAACGAAGTTCAATTTTACCTCCCTGAAGGTATGTGTGTGCATAAGATGATTTAGCATTGGTTCATGACAGTGGTCTGTACATTTGGAAAATTTAATAAAAAGTTTACAGATTTGAAACACTTAAAATATATTTCTTGAATTTTATCTCTAGGTATACAGGCAAACAAATGTGTTAGTTGTGCTTCTAACAAAATAAACATGGAGCTGGGCATCATGGCGTGTGCTGTACTCCCGGCTGACCAGGGGGCTGGGGCAGGAAGCCCACCTGACCTCAGGGCTGCAGCCAGCCAGGACAGTAACAAGGAGGGAGGGAAGGTTGGCTACAAAGCCATTTTACTGTTAAAATTACTCAGGAAAAACACTGAAGAATTTAAGTGAACTTTCAAGTATAAAGATTTCGACAAATGTTTTATCATGGCATGTGACATATTCACTGGATGTCACTGAGTAGTGTTTTGTGCTGTGTCACACCCACTGCACCTCCCTAGCAAGAGTGTCCCTGCCACAACTTGACACTGTGTACAAACAAAAATACAAGGCTGCAACGGTCTAGGTGTGAATGTGTTTTGTAAATGATGACTCAGAATATTTTAAGCTTTGCTGGACATTACAGTAACTGAGGAAATGGGGGCCTGCCCCTTAGCTCAGTTCTTTAAGTGGCTGCTTCAACAAAGCAGTCAGGCTCAGGTTGCTGTGGTTCGGTCCCCACAGCTCAAGCCAGCCAAACCTGCCCTGAAGGCATTTGGAGAAAAAAAAAAATCCTTATTACAGTAGCTAAGGAAAGTTCAGCAAATTATGGGGCATTACTTACTCTTCACGGCTATCACAAGTACTTCACAGACATACTATTTTTCTTTAAGTACACATCCTTTACTGAAACGGTCTCAATTAATGTATAAGTCATGAATTACTCCTTCCGAACACCTTTTAAATTATTTTTACAGATTGTATAACTTAGTTACAAGAATCACAAGTTCATACAGTATATATTTTATATATAGTATGCATAAAATATGTATTACGTTAATCTGAAAGCCATTCTTGTTAGGAAAAAATCTTACAAAATGCAATGCTTCTTTTAAAAAGAGAACTTTGTTTTTTTTATTTGACTAGCATATATTTTTTCCAGACTTTGAGGGAAAAAAGAATGAAGTTTGCTTTCTATGTGTTGTCCAACAGAAACTGTGGTACTGGCTGTGAACAGTAAGGGATTTTCACAAAGGATGTGTAACTATTACTGTACATTAGCCTTGTAAGCGCTAACAGCAAAATACTCCTTTTCAAAGAATGGTGTCCAAAACCTGAAAGCACTTTTAAGATCAAATACTTTTGTTTTTGTATTTTAGGGAAGGGTCTACAGGGTGTTGTGTCTCACTGTATAGATTACAATCACAGTGATCCACCTGTTTACAGTCTCCCAAGAGCTGGGATTACAATCACATGCCACCATGCCCTGTCTCAATTGCTATCTCAGCGTGCCCCAGGGGCGAGGCCGGCATGGTAGGCCTGGGGATTGAACCCCCAGCCCCTGTGCCTAAAATCAAGTAACTTCTGAAGTATAAATATTAAAAATTGGTGAAAATAGGGGATCACAATGAGTCTGAGCCATGTAGTGAGACCCTGTACCAAATACATTAAAAAATACTAAAAAATATTTAAAAACCAATCAACAGTATACTTATTAAAATTTATTTTACTGATTTGTATAGTTTTATCTCAATTTTTCAGTCCCTAGGAAGATAACAAATATTTACTGAAACAAAAATCAAAATAAAAATTTAAATTAAGAAAATCTAATATATGAATAAGTATAACTAAATTTTAAGGTTTAGTAACTTTACAAATGAAATGCTTCTTCTAACTTTCAAAAATGTCTTCCATTGCTGGGGAGATGGCTCAGTGGAGTAAGCGCTTCCCTGGTAAGTGCAAGGGCTTGAGTTCAATCCCTGGTTCCACCAATCAATCAAAAATGTCTTTCACTTATGAAGTTAGTAAAAGTTAAAAGTTCAACTAGGACTTTTTGAGCATCATAAAGTAATACATTTTTCTGGGATCATTAAAACAGCAAAACGGCTTGATAATTACTGTTTCTTTGTTAATATATAATTACATTACATCAATCCCATCCTAATGCACTACTTTTTCTTGTTACTCTTTCACTGGGAGGATGTTCGCTGGGTCAGGGTACCGCAGTTGCCTCTAGACCTGTTTTTCTTTCATTTTTGGAAAATAAAGATACACTATCCATTCAGTAAAATTCACCAATTTTGGGACATAGTTCTTTGAATTTTGTAAGTCACTACTGCATGTCAGTTACTGTGTGTCTACTGCCACAATCAAGCCACAGGAGAAATCCCTGGAGAATACCTGAGTTTCTCCACTGCTCTGTAATCAACTTCTTCAAACTACAGCCTCTGGCAACCATTACGCTACAGTTTTGCCTTTGCAAAAATGTTGTATGAGTAACAATATACCATATCGAGCCAGTTGCATCTGATCTCATCATTTGACATAATAATTGGAGGTTCTGTGCGTAGTTGTTCGGCTCAGGTGCTTGCCTTTTTTCTGTCTAGTTATTACTACTGTATTGCAGTAAGAAGAGTCCAATTTGTGTACGCACTCCTCAGGGACATTTGCGCTGTTTCTCATTTTTGGCAATTGCAAGTACAAACTCATACAGGTCTTTGTGGCTAAACAAGTTTTTACTTTTCTTAGGAAAATACCTAGAGGCAATGCTGCTGGGTCATATAGAAAAAGAATAAATTTCACTTAAAAAACTCTGTCAAGGGTTATAAATATAACATAGCTGTAGAACTCATGCCTGACATTCGTGACAGCCTGGGTTTAATCCCAGTCACAAAGTCATCCAAAATAAATAAACAAAAACAATAAGTAAAAACTCTGCCAAACTATTTTTCAATCTCGCCACCCAAGTTTGGATTCCTATAAGCAGTGACAGTATACTAATTGCAAGGTGCTGATGTGAAGGGATGGAGGCTTTGTCTAGGTCAGTGAAAAACTGGGTAGAATTATGATAAAATTCCAGTTCTGCGTAGGGTTTTGCTACGATATAGCAAAATAATTCTGCATTTTTAAATAGAAGCAACTGAGAACAATGTCATAGCCAACAGTCACACACAGATAAAGGAGTATTTCAATGAAGAATATATGTAAATACCTTTAACAAATACATTTTAATGTAGTAAATGTAACATTTAATACTATATTAAATATTGAAAACTGTGTATTATATTACATTATATTTTTAAAATTTTTATTTACTTATTTATTAATTTGGTACAGGGTCTCACAAAGCAACTCAGACTTAAAAGTGATCTTCCTGTCTCAGCCTCCCCAGCTCTGGAATACCAGGCATGTACCACCACACCCGGTTTGGGGGTGGGTACAGCATACAGTAGCGGGGATTGAACGTAGGTGCTTGTGCTTGACAGGCAGGTGCTTAGATGGCCGAGCTATCTCCCCACCCTTGTATATCATATCACATCACATCACATCACATCACATCACATCACATCACATCACATCACATCATATCACATATTATAGTTCAAACAGTTCTCTCAAAAAAAGTAAAAAGTCAAATAGAAAAAATGGGGCAGGGCTGGGGAGATAGCTCTGTAGTCTAAGCATCTGCCTGGCAAGACCAAGATCAAGAGTTCAATTCCTGGTAGCACAAAAAAAGAAAGAAAGAAAGAAAGAAAGAAAGAAAGAGAGAGAGAGAGAGAGAGAGAGAAAGGAGAAAGAGAGAAAGAGAAAGAGGGGGGAGAGAGGGAGAGAGGGAGAGAGGGAGAGAGAGAGAGAGAGAGAGAGAGAGAGAGAGAGCGAGCGAGCAAGCAAGCCAGCCTTTAGAATCACTAATTTCATTAAATCTACACTGTCATATTCATTCATGTGGTCAAGGAAAACAGCATTTAGACAGAATTTTAAGAGAAAAGAGAAACACTCATTCCTTTGGGAAACTTTTTACAGACAGGCTTATCCAGTAACTTGATGATGTCTTAATTTGCATAAAACAAAGCACCAGCCAGAAAGGCCTGACACCTACATGTCAAGGATGCTACAGCCGCCTCGGGGGTTCCACGACCCTCAGAGAAAGAGGTTTCGTCAGGCAGTTTGGGCGGGGTGCACTGTTCCTGATGGAAGAGCCCAGCGCCAAGGCAGCCGTCTGCCAAAGAAGTAGAATCTGTAGAAATAGCACTTACACAGGAAAGTTAAGGCAAGAAAAACCCAAGAAGCATCTCAGAAGAAAGGAGATTTGTTAATGCAAAATCATCCATGTATTAAACAGGAAGAGCTAAAGAGGAATAAAAGAAAAACAGACAGCAAACTGAAGGGTATGCACACTATAAAATATTTGAAAATCTCATTTCATGGCATATTTCGAGTTAACATTACTCAGTATATCTCCTTTAAAGCATAAAATAGTATCACTGATAATATTTTGAGAAAAATCATTAGTTGTTACATAGTAATATTTTAAATCTCACAAATAAAACATTCTTAGTTTCAAACTCCTAAGTATCATGTAAAAATTGAAAATAATATATTTGATTCAAATTTACAGATAAATGCTAAGAATTAGGCAGTTACGCTAAAGAATTTTCATACTTACCAGGTTGTGCCCATACTAAAGTAGTAGCACAGTGATATACTATTATAATACAACATTATTGGTCTATCATATTCATTCATACCTAGCACTATCTCTACACATAAAATTTTATCGTACATATAAGAACTAAGCAACTATAATTGAAAAACACTGGAAACAGTAGGAGTTATATAATTTTTACTGGACTTTCATTTATTTGAGGAGAATTCAGAAGAATTAAATACTAGAAAAGTATTTTCATAGTAACAAATTTCTAATTATTGGAGCAAGATACCTAATATGTTGAAATTATACTTGCAACAGTTGCCTAAAGAGATTGCGCTTGCATTTTAGTGCAAGTTTTCCTTTAAACACTCCAAGGTAGCTTCCTAGTGATGATGTCATTACTCTTGGGGAGGAAGGAGGTTAACCAATGTCAACAGGACACTGCGTAGGCAAGCAGGAGACAAAAGAGGGAAAGTACTCAAAGTACAATTTCCGAAATATAATCTTCATTCTAATCTTGAATCCGCAGGGGAGAAAAATAAGGAAAATTCCTTTCATCGTATAAATATTGGGAACTGAAACCACAGAATCTATACCTCTTTCATACACAGGGCTTTCTAACTGGATTCATTTCTCAATTGGCAGGATAGCTCTTTCTCACCAGTGACATGGGGTAGAATGGTGGCGGCATACCTGGGCTGGGGAGGCTCTCAGGAGAGGTGGCTTCTGAAGCGCTGTCTGCGGAAGCTCCGTCTACTGCCTGCAGGGCTAAGGGAAGCAACACAAATGCCACAGTCAAAAAAAAAAAAAAAAAAAAAAAAACCACCCCTTTAATGACATTCTACTTAGATTCTCACTGAGTGTGGTCAATCCCAGAAGGGCAGAATCTTACTAGACAAACTTCCAAATTAAAATATGCTCATTTTAGAAAAATGAATCTGTGCCATATTGTTTTATTTTGTTACAGATTTTTAAAAAGTAGTTTAGAATATAAGAAAGGATGGTTTTAAAAGCCTAAGTATAATTACTTAACAAAAAGATGTAAGTTATGACCTGTGTCATTTCTCCTGTCTACAGTAAACAAAACACAATACAAACATAGTATCATGGGAAAAGTACACTACCAGTTGCAGGGCCGTTCTCATCACTCTGAGTCAGGGGCATTTTGGAGGGTGGGGAAGGTGCTTTCCGCTTGGTCCTTTTCAAAGATAAATTCCCTTCAGATGTGGTGGTGAGTGGCAGTGAGCCCGTCCTCATTCGGCCTGCTTCACGGGGACTCTATAGAGAACAAAACACTCAAGCAATCCCTAATCAGAAACCGACTGCAAACCCTAGGAGACACTACACTTTACAACAAACATCATATACCAAAATGGAACATGACAATAATTATTTTAAAAAATGTAACAGCAATTCATTCCAAAAACATTCTGTAATTTTCAGAAGCCATGCATTGGGACAGATATATAAGGAAAAATATAATACAGGCAGTTTCTAGACATCTAGGCTAGGAAGGAAGAGAGTAAGTTAAAAGCTAACTTCCAAAGAAAAGTCTGGAGACATTATTGGATGCAAAGGAAGGGATGATCAATCCTTCTCTTAAGCCTACTTTATCAGTGAGAAGCATTTCAAAACACAGTATGTTTACTGAAGGAAAGTCCTTTGATGCCACCAACTACAAAGAGCTCCTGTTCCCACTCACAGCAGGTGAATGTCAGCAGACCCTAGGCCGAGTTCACCTCAGGAGGCTCTCGATCCTCCCGGCCAAGACTCTGGATCCCAGTTTGTGCCTCCAATTTCACTTGTCCCATCAAGTGTCTCCAGTGTACCTTTTCCCAACCTTTAATCTACTAAAACTTCTAGCACAGTCACAACGATCTTGGCCACAAACGCACCAGCAGTCAATTCCTCAGAACTCACTTCTGTGATCTGCTAGCAGCAGGAAAGACAGCCAACCACCCTTCTAAAGTCTTCATCTTGCTTCCAGGAGACTGTGTTCCTTCCTGCCTAGTGACTCAGAGTCTCAGGCCACTCAATTTTCTTTGGTCATTACTTTCATCTCTTGACCAGTACTGGCATCACTCAGGGCCCAGTCCTAGGATACAGTCTCATTAGTATCTATGCTCACTCTCTTAGTGGCCTAATCTATTCTCTGGTTTTTAAGTATTATTTACATGCTTATGAACGCATGCCTCCATCCTGGACCTCCGTTCTGACCTCCACCGAAGGTCTACAGGCAGTTTCATGTCAGAATGTTTAAAACTGAGATCACGCCAGTTCCGTCTCCCAAACTCATACTCTCAGAGCAGGGGAGAGCAGAGAGCTAGCCATCTTCCCGGCTGCCCGCTCCTCTGTCTCACAGTCCACACTGAGGCCGTCCTGTTGGTTCTGCTCTGCCAGATATCACCAATTCAGCTCAACTCCGATGCCACAGTCTAAGTCACCAAAACCCTCACCAGTTTCCCACATGGCAAGGAACAGCTCAATGTTTATAGAGTTGGTGGCCTGGGCCTGAGGTCTCTGATCTTGCTGAAGCCTGGCTGGCTTTCTTGCTACCCCTTCATGTATCAGGGGAAATCCTGCATGGGGATGGCTGTATCGCTGGGCCCTGGGCATGAGAACTTTTTTTTTTCTTTGATGACTCCACGTCTCATGCCCTCCTTTGCTTCTGGTTCTTTCCTGGGTCACCATTTCCATGAGCTCCTCCCTGACACCCAACAGTTCCCAACAGTTCCCATCTGTTCCCAGCTTTATCACTGACATTTAACATCCTTGTAATATAGTATATGGTTGGCTACTTACTCATTTTTGTGTCTGCTCCTATTAGAAATGACTAAAATGAAAGAGGCTTTTGCCCATGGTTGTGTTTCTAAAACAACGTCTGGCTCATAGAAGTTTCTTAATAAATACTCCTTGAGTAAATGAAAAATGAGTTCAATATTGCACTCTTATTCTTTGGTAAATAAGAGACCTTGATTAGCCTGGCCTAGGAATCTGTATAAAGCTTGGGCTATCTAACTTTACAAGGTAACCTAAGTACATCTAGGGAAGTCAAATTCATCAGAGATTTTCATTATATCTTGCCACACACCAAGAAAAATTTGACAAATTTACTGTTTCATAACTTTCTAATATTTCTGGCAGAAAAAAAGGAAACTTGCCCCAAAAGAAAAAAACTGATTTTGTTATCACGACTGCTGCCAACTGTGTGAGACACCAAAGAGGAAGGCGGGTCACCACATGGGGCTGGGGCAGGTGCCTGGCTGCAGAACTTCACTAACTCCTCTTACAAGGCAGAGCGATGAGATGGCAGCAAGGTGACCTCTGCAGAAGTCCAAACACTGAGCTTCTTCCTCTGCGCCAGCAGTGAGGGGCTGAGCCCACCGTGCTCGCCCTCCTGCACCACAACTCTCCACAGTCCAGCAAGAGACCAGCTAGAACTTGCTATCTAAAGCTGAGGTTTTAAGAAAAGCCTGCTCTGATTGAACACAGGGAGAAGAAGTGGGGGTGGGCCCTCAGTGGACCTTTGAAAAAATTCAAAGATGAGTTCCCTGTGGCAAACAGCTAAGAAAGAAATTCAGGGAGGAATTAATCTACTTCACTACTGTTCTGAGAATACAGTAGTTAAGTATCCTCTTTACTGAACTGTGTTCTGAAACTTTTGCTATTTTTTTTTTTTTTTTTTGAGACAGGGTCTCACTCTGTCATGCTGGCCTTGAACCCACCTATGTAACTCAAGGTAGCCTTGAACTCATGGCAATCCTCCTGTCTCCGCCTCCCAAGAGCTGGGATTATGGAGGTGCACCATCATGTCTGGCTTCACCTGTTATCTTATACATGTAATAATAATAGATTGTTAGGAGAAGGCTTAAAAATTAAAAACGAGACAGTGATTGGGACTGAGCATGGTGGCACACGCCTGTAATCCCAGCACTTTGAAAGGTTGAAAACAGGAGGATCACTATGAGTCCGATCTACGTAGTGAGACCCTGTACTAAATACATAATGTGTGTGTGTGTGTGTGTGTGTGTGTGTGTGTAAAATATCATTTCACTTGCCAAAATATTTATCTAAAAACCCAAATCAATAGACATTATTTCTTATTGAACCTGCCCCATTAAAGCAAAACTGCTGTTGGAGACCTCACTTATGAGCAAGAATGCAGTTGGTGACCAATATCCAATTGCTAAGTGTGCCCAGAAAAGGCAACATTTGATTCTCCTCTCAGTTCCAGGTTTATGCTTTGACTGATTGTTTTCATGAGGTATATAATAAAAATATTTTCATCTGTAGGCCACACTTCTAAATGCCATCAATTTTGCATCATTTCCACCACCTGATAAAAGCAGTCATGATGCAAGTTTCTCAAGCAACACTATCTGCTAAGAGTTAGACCCTTCAGTTTGGGGTATAAGACACTAATCCCCTTAGGGATCAACCACAGTCACAGTCAACCTGGAAGACCACGTGCTCAGGTCCAAGCTCCCGTGCTCTGCCCACGGCCCAAGCGACACACATCGCCTCGGGTCATTTCATCATACTGGAAGGATTGTAATAAAGTTAAATATTTAACACTACCTTGTGAAAACCCAGTTATTAGTACATGGGTATGTGTTACGGTAAATAAATTCAAATATTTCACAAGTTAGTTTAATGCAAAGAATTAAAAATAACTGCTTATAATTATCTTTAGCCTTTACCACCAAGATACCTTTCCTTTAGTCAAATCATGGCTATGTTTTAAAAATTTAAATGAGACTGAATTGTTTCTAAGTCTGAAGGTTTTGCAAAATGAGAAAACAGGCTTCTACTTCCTAGCAGAAACTGCTTTGGTTAATCATTAGAGATACTCAGTTATTTACTTTAGTTTAAACCACTGATAAGCCTGTGGCCATTAGTGAATGCGGAGCTGTGACAGGAACATACCTCACCACACTTCATGGGCTGCGAAGGGAAACAGCCACACAGAAAGCCAGGATAACTAACAAAAGAAAGTGACAGCAAGGTCAGGTAGAGAGCCGTGGCAGACAGTTAATCCCCCAGAATTCACATCTAGGTCACAATCCACTGGTTCAAAAGGAAACTACATTTTACAAAGAAAGTGGAACTGAATGAAATTCAATAGATTTACTCTACACTGGTTCTTAAATCACTTATTAATTATCGTTGAATTATAAGATGTGGATAGTTGAAAGTAATATATCCTAAAGGAATTAAATGAGAACAAAAAGGGAAAAATGAAACTAAGATACAAACCCAGTAGCTCTGGTTTAGTGATGTTCTTAATGGTTTCTACTGAAAGCTTTTGGATGTTCTGGGTTTTGTTTTTTTTTCCATAATTTTATTGAGAGACAAATAGCAATGAGACAGTTTCAAATCAAATTGGTAGGACAGTTTCAATAATTAACACATTGCATACATTCTTCCTAGTGGTTATTTGCTGTATAAGATGCAGACATGATATCCTATTTACAAACACTATTACAACAAATCCCTCTATTCATTAAGAGAATGTAACTATATATCTATCCTAACCATTTTGAATACACAGATACAAAATGAACATTCATTTGTATCCCCTTTTTTGTTTATAGTTCCATCATTCGAATATTATAGGTGTGTTAACTCAGCAAAATATTCTAATGGTCTGTTGATAATGATTTGCACCTGTGGGAAAGGGCAAGGTTAGTGGAGGGATCCTAATCCCTTAAATTTATCTTAAAATTCATGTTTTTCTTCTTAAATGACAGATTCATGATATCTAACTCCAACCTGAACATTCCCAACAAATACTATGGAATACTAATAAATATCTACTGATTGACATTTGTTTACACAAATTTATTATGTTGAACTTCCCACTTAAATGAGGGTAAAGTTTGAACTCTTTGGACTTTTCATGCAAAGTCTAAAATAGTTTTAGAACTTAAGCAAGTCAATCTTCTTAAATAGTATTTACCAGTCCCTTATGCTATAAAGTATGAGGTATTTCTGGGTACTGTGGTACACACCTATAAGCCTGGGTACTTTGTAGGCTGAAAGGAGGATTGAGAGTTCAAGGCCAACCTGGGCAACTTAGCAAGATCCTAGCTAGGGATTTAGCTCAGTGGTAGAATGCTTGCCCAGCATATGTGAGGCCCTGAGTTCAATCAGTACTGAAAATTTTGAAAAGTATGAAGTATAAAATTGACAAAGTACGCAAATTATGAAGGTACATATGAATGAATATGATATAAATAATGTATAAATTGTTGAAAAAAGGAGAAAAATCCATAAAC